GCAGCGGCATTTAACTTGTGTGTGCCTGTGTCTGTCTGTGTGTGTGTGACAGCTGTTGTCCTGTTGTCTGGCAAGCGGATGTGCGAGCATTGTGTTGGCACATCCGGTTACATTATGAAACTAACACACTCTCACACACACACAAGCGCTCGAGAGGAGCCTAGCACTCACACTCGGGCACATAAACTTAAATGGTTCGTCCTTTTTTGATGCTGCAGCTGCTCCTGATGATGAAACCCGAACAGTGGCACTAAAAAGGACCTCGTCTTGAAACGTGTTTTGATAAGCCAGTAATAGCTGGGCTTTAAGAAAGTGCAGCTTTTAAATATGTAAGTCTTTTTGCAGAAAAATATTTTATACTGAATAAAATAATGGAAAGGGTTTTTAAAAAATAAATATAAATATTTTTAATATAAAGAACATATCCTATACATTATTGCCTTATTTTACTATTATATAGAAATAAATAAAAATATTTTAAATTTAAAAACCATAACCCAAAACTTTTTCAATGCCATCTAATGTAGCTCCACTGCTGACCCTCAGTTAACTATACTTATTCCTCGCTTGGTCCCAACTGAACTTCAAGTAACTGCCGCAAAGTGTAACTAAACGAGCTCACACGTTGTGGCCATAATTCATGGCTATAACAGGCACCTGGATAAGAAGGAGCCCTTAATCCATTGCCAGTTAAAGATAATTTTGTTTGCAGCAAATCACAAACCCTCCTTGGAGGCTATTATAACCACAGCAAGGACAAAGAATAAAGCCTGTTTATTTGCAGGACCCTGGTGGCAACAGATAATTACATAAAAATGTGTTATAATCCCCGAAGAGGGTAGCAACGTCTCAAGAGCATCGACAAGAGCTTATTGACTAAATGTGTTAATGATTTTGCAAATTGAATTGGGGCTAGGTGGCGACAGGAAGCCAGGAAGCCGGGAAGCCAGGAAGCAGTCACCTGCAGCAGGATGTCAATTTAAATAGCCGGAAGCCGGCAGCGGACTCCAGGGGGACGTGTGATTTGTGTACGTGGACCGGAAGTGGCCGCCCGATAAAGTCCAGGAAGTATCCCAAAAGGAGTTGCCGACGAAGCAGAGGAAACCAGATATCCCCGACTACACTAGAACAAATTAGCGAAAACGTAGAGGCACATTATCATAATTACATTTTGTGGTTTTAATGTACAGGCTTTAAGAGGGTTACTATAAATATGGTGTAGCAGCTATAAGGTAAAATAATTATAATATCTAAGAAACGAGGAGTTTTCCCCTCAATTTCAGTTTATAAATTAAAATTGTTCGTAGGAGCTTCCTGATAATATATGTTTTTAATTGATATCACATCTTCCAATAGATTTTTCTAAATATATATATTTTTTATAAACCCCTTAAAGTTGTTTTTCAAGTGCAGGGACTTACTGCGGCTGGCCAAGCGTCAAGTGCAGCAGAGGAGGATAAAGAAAAACCAGAGGAAAAAAAAGAAAATCGCCCGATGGGGAGACAACGGCAAAGTTATTAGTTTGGCGGGACACTAAGACAAATAGCGCTTATAAATAAGCCAGTGGGTAGAGCTGCAGAGACCAGCGGATGAACCTCCTGCAGTCTCGGCCCCTAAAGCAAATATAAATGTAATAATGCGATAAGAACAATGGGGCGAACTATCTCGGGGCTTTTCCTGCTAAACCCCAACCCCCCCTTCGATTTCCACCAATCCATCTCAAATAGCTGAAGCGTGATTATGAGCAGCCTAAACGTATTAGGGTTCGGATGATTGGACCATCCACTACTACCATTCTCTCTGAGCGATAAAGCAAATGAAAATGGCGCTATTTGTTTACTTTGGCCAAGGGGTGTGGATAATACGTGTATATATATGTATGTACGTGATGTATGACCGAGACATATGGCCGAACCGTCTCCGCCTGACAGATGCTGCCATAGATTGAACGCTCTGCAGATAATCTGCAGTCTCAGCAAATTTGCGCCACGGAATTGAGTTATCGCAACGATGGCTGGCGGAGAAAAATGGCCCTTGATTCCTAAGAAATTGTGAAATTCTGTTAAATGACATAACTTGAGAGTTACTAAGGACTTTTTACACACTTATGGAAGATAGTTTCGCAGACTGGTTTACAGAAATAATTGGTAATATATAGGGTTGTTATATATTAGCTTTACAATACTATTAGTCCGTGCAAAATAAAAAATGTTTAATAACTCTCTGTAAAGACCTAAAACCTTTTTATCTCAAATTATCTAACAAGAATATCAAGTACTGTTAAGAAAATCTACTTTCACTCTGCTGCATCTTAGATATCCGCTAGCATTATCAATATTTTCTCTATCCCGAGTTAATCTAACAAATTGAAAACTTAAGAATCTGCTGGAGCAACAGTTGTGGACGTAGCATCAAATCCCGCTCAGCTGCAGCTTAGTTGCTGTCATGCCCAGACAAACATTGGCCCAGCTGCCCCATTCCCCATCCCCATTCCGCCAACCCCATCCACATTCCCATCCACATCCATTGGGCAACCAACCTGTCCGGGAAGTACGAGTAACTATCCCTTAACCCTTGTCCCCAATCGTCCGTATTTCACCCCTTTGCCCGATTTCCGATTCCTGTTCTTTGCTGTCCGCCGCAGATGCGACTCGCCTTTGCCGTTGCCGTTGCCATTGCCTCTGCCTTTCCTTGCCTCATTTTCAATTGATGTATCTGCCGACGTTGTATTTTTAATGCGAGGAAATGATGCGGGGGCGGTGGGTGTGGCAAGGTGTAAGGAGTAAAATGGGGAAGGGGGCGTGGCCGGGTAACTGGCTCCGTTGGGTCTTTAAGCCATGTGCAATCATCGATGTGTCTGTTGCCCTGGATGCTGTCGCTGCCATTGACGCAGCATCTGCCACTGCCTTTGCCCCAGCTCCTCCTCCTGCTCCTCCTACTCAACCTGCTCCTGCCAAGGACCCTCCGCCTGCCCCAGGATCTCCGATGGCAAAATGTGAGCCGCATTTCCGCAAAGTCTGTGAGCTCAACAGCAATGAAGGAAGGGGAATCATGCGGGGTTGAGGGACTTTAGACAACATTATAGCTGTTGCCGCACAGTGGGCTTAAACTGATGCTTTAAATTGTGATTAGGAATTATCACTTAATTTTATTTTATAGAAATAAATATTTACAATATTTAAAAATAAAAATACAGGACTTTAGAGCTTAGTTAGCAGGTGGTAATATTATAGTTTAAATATTTCTTGAAATATTTGTGGTATTTTTTGGAGGAGTTTTCAGCTCCTTGAAGATGTAGGTACATAATTTCTTGATTCAGATACAAAACCTATTGTTTATATCTTTCTAATAATAAAACCACTGTGGCTAGCATTTCCGTTTCTAATGCGGAATTGCGAATGCAACAGACAAGACCCGGATGGTAGGAGAGTATATACGGTGGGAGGACTCACATCGACTTTGTCATTATAAATTGAAAGACATTTCTAGTCGCGTTCTCCGCCGCACCAAAGGTCCTTTCCACGAGACGGGATACCGCGGGGTTAGCCGAGCAGCATGGCCTCCCTGCTGGCCCCTCACCTCGCAGAGGTCGGGATGATGCGTTGCGATGCCTTTGCCTTTGCCTATAGTAACTGCATCCGGCTGTCAGTTGAGCTAGATCCAGCTTCAGGCTCGCTTTTCCTCCATTTTCCCACCCACTTCCCCAACCCCCAACCGATTTTTCTATCCCTAGTCCTGCTTCCTGCTTCCCCAGCCCGGCAACATGTGTCGCTTGAAGGAAATTGAATTTTTATTAAAGGAAAACATTTTTATTGCAGATTATTTTCGTTTTGTGTGCGCCCCAGCTGATTGAAATTTCAACTTCCGCCTGGGGGCAGTGACATCAATTGAATTACACAACTTTTGACATTTGCTGGAAGAGTGTGGACAGGTATGTTGGGTAATTAAATTGAACGAAAATAGATTTGGAAATAAAAATGAAGAAACGTTTAAAGGGGCAATCGAGTAGAGTTTTCGAGTGACTTCGTTCTTGAAAAGTGTCCTATGACTTTACTTGGGAATTTCTTAAACACCAATGTTCTAAAATACTTAAAAATAAATCTTTAACTAGCAACTTTACCGCATTTCAATTCAATTATATACATAGCATTATATTTTGACTTAACATGGTTTCATAAGCGAAAAAAAAACTAGGGTTTTCGAGGGATTATGTTCTTGAAAAGTGTCCTATGACCATACTTGGGAATTTCTTAAATACCAATTCTAAAATTCAAAAAAATAAATCTTTAACTAGCAACTTAGCCGCATTTCAATTCACTTATTTTTATAGCACTATATTTTGTCTTAACATGGTTGCATAAGCCAAAAAAAGACTAGGGTTTTCGAGGGATTTTGTTCTTGAAAAGTGTCCTATGACCATACTTGGGAATTTCTTAAATACCAATGTTCTAAAATACAAAAAAATAAATTTTTAACTAGCATCTTTACCGCATTTCAATTCACTTATATACATAGCATTATATTTTGACTTAACATGGTTGCAAAAGGCAAAAAAAGACTAGGGTAGACTAGCATTTTTTCGATTTTCCACTTGCTCGACTCGGTTTTTTCTTTTTCGCCTTTGCAAACTCAAGCTCGACTTGTGCGCAATTTGGATTCAGAGCCACAAATTCACTTTGGCAGACAGTCTGGACCCCGCCCCGCCTTTCGGCCCACATTCTACTCTCCACAAAAGAGCCACAACCCATTCCTCGGATTTTGTGGCTTTAAAATTATAGTCGGTTAGATTCGCAGGGATGCGCTGGATGGCGCATAATATTGCAATGCCATCTTTTCAGTGCTGGCACAAAAGTCTGTAGGTTAAATGTCGTCGTTGTCGTTCTTGTCGTTGTCATCGTCCATTGCCACAATGGAAGTATTGAGTCATAAAATTTATAAAAGCATTTGCAATAAGCAAGCAGCCAAAAAAAAAAACGAAATGCGACTGGGCGAGTACTTACCATTTTATCGATTTTTGGGGCTAGGTTTTGGCCTTCTTCTATCTCTTTCCTTATCAATCCCTCCATCTCTTTCGCTCTCTGGCTGGCAATTGATCTGGTCGTTTCAGCTCGGTTTTGGCCTGCAATGATGCAAATAGATTTTCTGGTTGTTCAATCTGGTTATTTTCGGGCGAGCTGATATGCCAAAGTTGCATATTCAATTTGGCCAGAGTTTCGTTTAATGGAATTGTAAGTTTTCTTGGTGATTTTCGGAATTCTTAGGTTAAATTGTTGCCTTCAACATGTAACATTTAAAGAATAAAGTCAAGTTTTACACACAAAGTCTCTGAAGTATTCCCTTTTATGAAAGTGAATCAGACAGAAAACTTTACTTTCCACATTTTGTTTTATTTTGTAATAAGATCCTTTACAACAATGTTGAAACAAAAGCCATGTTTTTAAAAAAATCAAGAAAACTGTTTAGTTGAAGCAGCAACCTTTCTTTTACCTGCATAAATTTGTAAATTTTAATTTATACTTAAATTCTCACCTGACCCAAGACCTTAATTAAATTGGACAAAAAAATTAGCATATAAGCTGGCACCCTATTTATGCAAATCACACTCATTAAGGCGACTTACAGACATATGAAAAAGGTATGTTTAAAGTATGCTTAAGTTGGCCAAGAAATTTGCAATTCCAAATTTTGCAGGTGGAATAAGGGGGAGAAAACTATAAAAAGAGAGCCAACACAGGAGGGAAACTTTGCACTTTTGTTTGCCGTCACGTGCACTCAATAAACTTTGAACAAATTTGCATTTGCAGCGGCAACAACAAAGAGCTGTTCTGGACAGTGGAACACCCACATATACACACGCCCATACACACCCACGACTTTACAATGCGTTTTTCCTGCTCGGGATCGACAAAAAGCGACGCATTGAATTTCAAAAGAAGAAAGGCGGAAACAAACTCGAGCACACAACGTCCATTTCCTGTTTCTGTTTGTCCTTGCTGCCGTGTCCTTGTTGTTGTCCTTGCCCATTCGCACATCGATTCGGCTTGATTCAGCTCGATTTGCAACGGCTTTTGGCACAGATTGTGTTGAGTTTTGTTTGGCATCGTTGGACTCCGGTTACCGCAGGTCCCTTCTACCGAATTTCACATTTCTTTTTTGCCACCGTTCAGTTAGAAAGGGGGGATGAGACCCTGTTATAGAAAAAAATACCCCCCAGGTATACTTCTTAGGCAGCAGCTCAGATCCCATTTTCTTTGCAATTTTTCGCAATCAACTCGAACAGGTAATGAAATGCAAATCGATGCATATACGCATTAAGTCGGATGCATTGGCATTTTTCCAAAGAAATGAAAGAACAGCTATTTCTAGAAAAAATGGAAACTATTTCTAAAAGGAAACAACAAGTCTACACTGAAAACTATTTATAGATTAAATTAAATTAAATTAATTAAAATTTTTAAGGAATTGGAAACCTATATAGGTTTTTAAAAGTAGGGTTGCTAAAACGATCGAAAGCATCATCAATACTATCGATGGTTTCTTAAATTTAAGAAACATCGATGGCTTGCGCCTTTATCGATAGTATCGCTCGGCAAAATAATTAAATTATACGTGTAATTTTTGGTTTGTTTTGGGGATATCGGATTTTTAGCTGTTATTATTATATTAACACGGCGTTGCAATGATCAATTCGTTATACAACTTTTTTAATGTTCCTTAATTTTATATTATATATATTCGATATTATCGATATACTCAAGTGGGCCACTATCGATTGACAATACTATGTTTCTGTTAGATCTATCTTCCTTGTTAGTTTATTTCGACTTTGTAGCTCCTAGTTTTTTCCTGTGTATGATCTGTATATATCTAGTTGAGTGGCATACAAATTGCCGCCCATCTTATTAACATGAGGGGCAATGAGGGTAAACAACGAAATGTGCAGGTAGCCCAACCAAGCGAACCACAGCAGTCTGTCCGCTCCCAAAGGCATCAACGGCCAACAGGAGCTGGCTGAGATGGCTGGAATGGTTGGGATGGCGGTGGAAAATGTGGAGGAGTACCATCAACAATGGGGCGGATTCTGGTGGTGGAAAATGTGGGTGGCGGTGGTGCAGTGGTGCACCATTTTACAGCTGCAAACGAAAGCGAGAAAATTACTTTTCTTCTTTTCAGCAATTTTGTTGCTTCTTGCAATTTATGCAAAAGTCAAATGTTGATTTGTGGCCCACGAGGAGAATGGACGAGGGGAGCCAGGATTCAGGATTCCAGAGTCCGGACTCCGGAACACCTGGACCAGGGCGGAGACCACATAATGCAGAACCACCACCATATTGATTTAGTGAGGTCCCTGCAATCTCCACAGCCATTTCCCATTTGCTTGCCTTGGCTGAACTTTGCTACCCTTTTGCCATTTCCCATTTTCCCCCACTGCCGGAGTGTGGGTTATTTTAAAAAATTTGTGCTCCTACGGCTCGAGAGTGGGAAAAGCACTTGGCTATTTGCATAACAATTGGCTGGGAGCCGGGCAAACGAGCAAACAACTTTAGTTTGATTTGCCGAGTGCCATTGATCCGAATCATCATTATTATGCTCATCTCAAGTTCTAAGTGATTCGAAGTGGATTTTGGATTTGCAATTGTTTGTCTGCCCTTCGGAGGTGCCTCAATTAGTTCGTCTCCGATGTATAGAGTTATGGTCTTCAAGATGGCAAGCCGATCCCCTTTGAGGCTGCTCCCTACCGGACCCTTATTAAATTGGCTGGCTCCTTAGTTTAAGCTCTATAAATTGCCAGTAACTCGAGTCTCCCTTTTTTTAACAGTATTCCCTTAACCTTTTTCTATGGCGCTAACCCGTCTCAAGTTGATTGAAAAGTTACTTTTTCTACCTTCTGAAGGGGTTTCCATTTAATGGCCGGCAACCTTCTGCTTTTCCATTTGACATTTTTTTTTGTGTCGTCTGGCCAAATGGGTTTTTGTGCTTAGTGAAGTGATCAATATGTAATGGAATTTCCCAACGTAAACTACACGATGATATCGTTTGGTGGCCATAAATTATGCAAAGGTTTTTTATGCAGACACACTGAAAATTGTTTTCTATTTTTGGTAATTTATTGTGCACCTGGCCTATAAATTAACTTAATTAATGTTCTGCAGTTGCCGCACTTTTATTTCATATTTTTCCCTCTTGTGTTATTTTAACACGACGTTTATGATTGGCATGCAAATTTTGGAAAATATTTCCCCAATGCAAAACGAACAAACATTAATATTCGGGTGACTGCTTTAAGTGCTGCTTTATAAATATAGATATATATACTATATATGGGTATCAGCCTAAAACAAAGTTCATTATTCGTATGTCAGACTGTCAATTAAATGGATTTGATGGGGGTCGAATAAACGAGTGTGTATTTCCGAAATCTGTGGAAGATTTCAACTAATTGAAACTGTTTTGAGCCGCTTCCAGCAGATGTCATTGGGGCAGAGAATCTACGCTCGAAAGCAATTGCCAAAAGCGCTTAAAGACAATATTTTGCCAGGGAGGCAGGCACTCGGGGTCGAGAGGTTATCGGATACCCGGAGTTCACAGTTTGCTGAGGTCGTCTCCAGCTGGGGGCCAAAGTAAAGCTCCGTGCCGCCCGAATCTCTGTGTGGATTGGCAATCAGTGTTAAATAAACGAGCAGGCCAAGTGCCATAGACAGGACGCAGGAGACAGGACACTGGATACAGGACTCAGATGGATGGCTGACGACATGCAAAATGCATTGGGAATTCAAGAGTCTGGCAGCATTGATAAAACTTGCAGGAGGCCTGCAGACCAACCGATTGATTGCTGCCAGAAGTTCTGTGCCCCCAAAATAACCAGTTCCTCTAATGCGATTAGGTTAAGCTAATTAATATGCAAGGACTCACAGCAGCGCATTAATTGATTTTGCTAACTCTAATTAGTTTGAAAACGTGGCCACATTGTCTGGGCCTTATCAATGCACCACACTCTCCAGTTGGCCATTGCTTCATTAGCAAATTCCTAGTCTTAAGCCAGCATGTCGACACATTCATTAGGCGATTATGATAATTTTCGAGCCTCACACATTTATCTGAAATTTAATTTATGTAGGAGCACTCAAGGAAATTAGTTCAAATTATTAACAAAGATTTCAGGAGCAATATATTGTGGGTACCTGACTTGTTTTACATAAAAAAATAATTATACAGAAAATGAAGAAATGGTTTTTTAAATAATTAAGATATTTAAATCAATTTTAAGTTAACTTTGTCAGGGACTTAACCCATATATCAATATTTCAATGTAGATTCAAAGTTCAAACTACTTTGTTCCAGGGCAGCAATAATCATCAGGCCATAAATCCCAAGAAAATTAAGTAAGCTTAAATAATTTATGTTGAGGTTTGGTTTTAGGACATATGCAAATGTTGAACCAATCATCTCCACGACGAAAGCCAAGTTTAAACATTTATGTTAAATTAATTGCCTCCCAAAAAACTTTCAAAGTTTGTGGCAAGTTTTGAGACTCTAATCAAACTTGCCACATTAGCCAAATGCAGCTGAAAACTCGGCTCTGTCAGCATAAACTTAGGAACTCTATTCCAACCACTCAAGTTGATGATATGCCACTTCAAAGCTAAGAAGAAAGCGAAGAAAAAACTCAATCAATGACGGGTAGAAATAAGGGAAATTTCTCATTCGCTGTCGTCACCTAGAACATAGAAAATGATGTGTCGAAAAGCCTGAACCCAACGGATATATATATATATATAGAAAAAAGAGAACTGCCAGCGACATTGACAAGATGATGCCATGCGTCTAAGGTTAAAGGCACAGGGAAAAGGAGAAAAATGGGGGGGATGAGTTGATTTATTACAGCCCGATAAGGAAGCACAGAGGAAGTGGAAGGAGCTGCAGATAAGCCAGGTCCTGGCAAATGCAATTGGCAGGCATTATGGGCAGATAAAAGCGCCAGACAGGACGAAAGAGACTTCATCAGGCTGAGTGGCTGCATTGGAGTTTTAATGAAATTTTTGCCAGAGCGGCAGCGACATAAATCAGCCAAAAATGTGAACTTAAAAATTTACATAATATGCGAGAGCCAACAAAAAT